CAGAAATAGATTTTTGTAGGAAAGAAATATTACCAGCGATGAGAATTTTGTCAGCATTAAATAACCCATTGAAGTTGATATGCCGTAAAACAAACCAAACCAAACCAGCAGTAATTGTGTTAAGAAAAACATTATTACCAGTAATACATTTTGGAAAAAAATTACCAGCGATACATTTTTGAAGGAAAAAATATTACCAGAAATAGATTTTAGAAAGAAAAAATATTACCGGACATAGATTTTTGAAGGAAAAAATATTACCAGAAATAGATATTTTGAAGGAAAAAATATTACCAGAAATAGATTTTTGTACGAAAAAAATATTATCAGAAATAGATTTTTGAAAGAAAAAAATATTACCAGAAATAGATTTTCGAAGGAAAAAATATTGCCAGAAATAGATATTTGAAGGAAAAAATATTACCAGAAATAGATTTTTGAAGGAAAAAATATTGCCAGAAATAGATTTTTGAAGGAAAAAATATTACCAGAAATAGATTTTTTGAAGGAAAAACTATTACCAGAAATAGATTTTTGAAGGGAAATATATTACCAGAAATAGATTTTTGAAGGAAAATATATTACCAGAAATAGATTTTTTGAAGGAAAACTATTACCAGAAATAGATTTTTGAAGGAAAATATATTACCAGAAATAGATTTTTGAAGGAAAAAAATATTACCAGATATAGATTTTTGAGGGGAAAATATTACCAGCAATAAAAATCTTGTCGGCATTAAATAACACATTGAGGTTGATATGCGGTAAAACAAAACAAAGCAAACTAAACCAAATCAAACCAATCTTTCTTAAGCTTTTGTTTGAAATAGCGTAGAAAGTCAATATCTTTATTATGTCATTATTTTCTCTTCGAGTTATGTATACTATCCATTTAATTGTTGCCGCTGTTGAAACTCCTCAAGTGACATGGCAGCAATATTCAATTCACAGACTGATTTATAGATTTATACATGTGCAAGATGGATTGCGCTGAAAAAAAAAACTGTATGGCACGACACAGTGATCAGACTTTTCTAGAAGTACATCTAGCAATTGATTCAATATAGTCTCTCCACTTCATGTCACGTGAGCCCAAGACATGCGCAAAGAATTAGTTACTCATCACGAGGTTAGCGTCCGCCATACTGATGGCATGCCAAAATGTATTCTATGAATAGGAAATGAAAGCATTTTTGTTTTAGAGCCCTTCAGATTTACAAGACATTCCTTACCCTAATTAACTATTGATTGGAACTCACTTTCGAGAGCAGTTGCCAGTTTTAACTTGCTGGACTTGCTACTAAGACAGGAGGAAATAGTTGTGTCATCTTTATAAATATCTAGTGAGGAAACTTTGAAATTCGTTCATGAAGATAAAATGAACAATGTCGGGCTTATGATAGAGATCTGAGTGGCCGCCTCATTAATGTAAAATGAACAAGAAACGTGTCCGTTTAGCATTACTTTCATTATACGATTTGCTAGGAATGATTAAACAAGCCTAATTATAGCCCAGAGACACCGTATTCTTTGAGAATAACTTAAACGGACGACATTACAAACAACAAACATTTTTGAAAATGGTTCGTGATAGCTGAAAGTACACAGATACGGTATAATTCATCTAAACTAATAATTAAAAATTAGTAGAAATATTGTAAAGATAAAAAAAATAATCCTCAAGGAATTTTCGTAGATTTAATTATCAAATGTATATTATAATATATTAATGTAGTTATACAAACCAGTCGTTAAATGAGAAGTGGCTATATGGCAAATGTATGTTTGTGTGTGCGTGTGTGTAATGGAAGTTTCTCAATCCCTCTATTCTCTTTCAAATAACACAGCAGGTGAATCACATGACAAATTGTCAAAGAAGACTGAAGCCTTGCCAAGGACATCTGACTTACTCCTGCTATAAAAAGGCTTAACAGTTTCGATGCTGTTTATATTCTAATGTTTCTGAGGAGACAAATATTATAGCAGTACTTTATAAAGACTGGCTTTCAGCCTGTCCTCTTAAATCGTATAGATACGACAAAGTTTCTCACCTAAGACTTGGGTTGGCCTAAGTTTTCCTTTCGTTTCAAAGTTAGAATTGACGAGCCTGGAATAAGTTATCAAAATGAGCGTAATGTTTAATCAGGTTAATGGCTTTTTGGTAATCAGACAAAATTCTTACAGCTTGACTGTGAAGTTTTCAATCATTTACCCCAGTATATATATATATATATATATATATATATATATAGATAGATAGATAGATAAACTGGTCTTTAACCAACCAGTCGTTAAATGACTTGACTGGGAAGTTTTCACCCTAGCATATATATATATATATATTGTGTAAAGGACAACTTGATAGATATGGCACAAGGACAAAGGCAGAGGATACCCAGGGAGGATCGAACTCACTACTATGTGGTAAATGACCTAGTAAGGCATGCATGTTAACCATTACACCGCCTCGAGGTGCCGTGGCTTCTTCGTAATATAGTGTTCTATATGACCATGAATTGCAAAACATTTTGATATATGATAAGGCAGCTCACGAGGCATTGTGGGACATGTGTAGCCAATGTAATAATATAATGTTGTTTGTTGATTATCAGTATTGCTCATAAAATCTTCCAAAGGACATAAAATTTCATAAACAACATTATATTATTGTATTATTGTTAAGTATTAGATTAGCCATTTTGGCTATTTTGAATCTAAGGTGCTGTTATTATATTTTAATGGCTTTTTCGCGTTGGTTACAATAAAATAATTTAATGAAGTCTTTATTTTTGTCATATATATATATATATATATATATATATATATATATTTTCGAAAAATCCGGTTGAGCACTCTTGAGAAAAGGGTAATTTTTGAAACAATGGCTCCCCCTGATATTAACGCATCAACAGAATTGAGCTCGCCAAGTCACTGGTGCATTTCATAGAGAAAACGTTGAAATTTCCCTTTCTCTATAGACCTAATAATAGGATCTCTGGCTGATGTTAAATCAGTCGAGTTTCGATTCCGGCTTGAAGCAAACGGACGTCTAGCCACACTGAAGATACAGCGAAACACACACACACATATATATATATATATATATATATATATATATATATATATATATATATATATATATATATATATATATATATATTCATGAATTATTCATACAAAAACAAATACAAAGGTTAATGATTTAATTGGCGAGAAATCCATCGTCGCAAACAATTCAAATAATATACAAAAAACCACGAACCTGTTATGAATGAAAAGATTCTTGTTTCTATAAATTTCTGTTGCATTAGTTCTTATTTTTACTACAAGCTTTCGTCTGTTCCTACAGACATCTTCAGGTATGGAATAGATGTTGTTCTTGTTTTTTCTCTCAGTAATAAGAGGACAACGAAAATATATGTATTGTTGTATCCGAAAAATGCTATTGGAAATGAGTTATTGTTTTTGGAGCGTGCAGTAGCAACGCTGAGTTTGATTTTAAATTTTACAGTTGTGCGTTCTTGTACAAATATGGTGATAAGCGATTTTTTTTTTTTACTGGTAAATTTTCTGTCAAAGTGGCATGAACTATATTGTTCAATAATTACAGTAATGTCACACTTATTATCCAAAAGTCGCACTTGGATCAGTTATTTTAATTTCGATAAACGTGCAATCAATTTAAAATCTAACTCAGCGTTAACTCGCCAATTAAATCATTAACCTTTGTATTTGTTTTTGTATGAATAATTCATGAATTTGTAAATTGATTGCACGTTTATCGAAATTAAAATAGATAGATAGATAGATAGATAGATAGATAGATAGATAGATAGATACTCCCACACGATGTACTCTCTCGTCAAGTCCGACTTATGAGGGTCCGACGACCACCTATTAATCATCTGCATGTCTATAACGGACTTTTGAGGCCAGCTCGAGAATTGTACAGAAGTATTGCCTGCAAATGCAACAGAAACTCTAGAGTTATCTCTCTCTCTCTATATATATATATATATATATATATATGTGTGTGTGTGTGTGTGTGTGTGTGTGGGTCTGTGTGTCTCTGTGTGTGTAGAGAGAGAGAGTAAAAGAGAGAGAGTTACATATAACTCTATACTAGAACAATGTTAATATAAATCGAATTATGAAATCACTGACTTGTATTTTTCAGTATCTATATATTGAAGGATCGGCGTATTTAATTTAGTCCAGAACTATTTAGATGACTCTGAATTACATGGTAATTACCAGAGCATGTGTAAAGAGCGCTAGGAATCCCATTCATAATTTTTGTCATACTATTTTTTTTTCTTATAGTGCCGAGTCCCTTCAGTATGTTATCGATCAGGGCTCTCCAATTTCCTGCCTTTTGCAGCTCTTAATAACTTTTTTTGCCATCTACTCGTTGCCCCATCCATTCACACATGCTCGCCAGATAGATTGTACTTTTGCTTTCTTCTGACCATCAATCCGTCCTGTGGGCATCAAATTTTCCAAGCCTTCTTTCCTCTCTCTGTGCTTTAGAAATTTCAACCAACTATTCCGGATGTTATGCATAAGCATAATTTTTGTTTCTATTTTCTCTAGAATTTTCGTCGTTAAAATTTCTAAATAGGACTCAACGTCAGGGGCGTAATAATTACTAGGGACAAATCACAGACCATTTCGATTATAATGACTATATTTGTACAAATTGCCTCTTATTTGTGGACTTGCGCCCCATTAAAAAATAATCAAATTAATTGTAAGCCGGCTTATAACTTTCTTTTTTTGTTCCGTGTTTTTTTTTTTTTTGGGGTATTTATTTGTTTTATTTTTTTTTTTTTTGTACAATTAATACCTGGTTTTATTTTATATCTTAGGTTTCGTCACGAACTTCTTATTTAAGCCTGCGTGAATGTACGTTTGAAAGCAAAATATACTTATATATATATATATATATATATATATATATATATATATATATATATATATATATTTTTCACTCAGGAACTATGTCGAGTGAGTTGAACGAAACAAAAGATGCGAACAATAGTCTAAAGCTGCCAAATATTGTTGGCTTTCTAGTCCTTTCAAAACTTTTCTTGTTGTTAAGTAAACCGATTGTTTTCCTTGTGTCGAAATTCACACATCGTGTAACCGGTTTCCTTGTAATATTTCTGGCATCATTCTATCGCTTGTTACCGATTCCAGAGACACCACCTGCCAACTCAGGTAGCTTTCCTGGAAATACTTGGAGATATATGCCCGGATAATTTCGACAATGCCAACTGTTTGCTTTCTCAATTTCAGATTTATTTGCTACGTTCAGAAAAAAGTCTGGCAGAAGGCCATAAACTTTATCGGTCTCTCTTCTTCACTTCGAAGAGATTTTCCAAAGAACTCGTTATTCTTACCAGCTGCATATTTGAGGATTTGCTACAACCTGCACCCAGCTAAATCTTCTTAATTTGAGATGATTCTAGTCCCCAAATGATTAAAACTCATGGGATATTTGTCTGTTTTTTTTTTTTTTTATTTTTTACATTTTATTCTCGTAGATCATCGTAAAGTTATCTTTTATTTTTGTTTTTTTACATTTACTCTTTTGGGGTTTCTATATTGATTTTTCTGAAAATATTAATCCAAAAATACTCTTCAACTAAAAGTACTTTATTACATTGATCTACCTTCCTCTCCCACTCTCTCTCCCTCTCTATTTCTTTCTTTCTTTCTTTCTTTCTTTCTTTCTTTCTTTCTTTCTATCTATCTATCTATCTATCTCTGCTCACATCTATCTATCTATCTATCTATCTCGGTCATTTCTATATCTATCTCCATCTATCTATCTATCTATCTATCCATTTATCTATCTATCTATCTCCGGTCATTTCATATCCATCTATCCATCCATCTATCTCAGTCATTCTATATCTATCTATCCATCCATCTATCTATCTCGGTCATTTTCATATCTATCTATCCCGGTATCATTTCATCTATCCATCCATCCATCTATCTATCTCGGTCATTTCATATCACATCCATCCATCCATCCATCCATCCCATCATTCACATCCATCTATCCCTATCTCAGTCATTTTCACATCCATCCATCCATCCATCCATCCATCCATCCATCCATCTATCTATGTTCATCTATCTCATCCATTTCACATCCATCTATCTATCTCGGTCATATCTCGGTCATTTCATATCCATCTATCCATCCATCTCGGTCCATCCATCTATCTATCTCGGTCATTTCATCTATCCATCTATCCATCTATCTATCTATCTATCTATCTATCTCATCATCATATCTATCCTATCGGTCATTTTCATATCTATCTATCTATCCATCTATCTATCTCATCATTCTATCATCATTTCCATCTATCTATCTCTATCTATCTCAGTCATTTCATATCTATCTATCCATCCATCTATCTCTATCTATCATTTCACATCTATCTATCCCTATCTATCTCCATCCCATTTCCTACATCTATCTATCCATCTATCTATCTCTATCTATCTCGGTCATTTTCATATCTATCTCATCTATCCATCCATCCATCCTATCTATCTCATCTATCTATCTATCCCCGGTCATTTCACATCTATCCATCTATCTATCCATCCATTCATCTATCTATCTCGGTCATTTCTATCTATCTATCTATCTCCATCCATCTATTTCTATCTATCTATCTATCTATCTATCTATCTCGGTCATTTCATATCTATCTATCTATCTATCTATCTATCTATCTATCTCGGTCATTTCATATCTATCTATCTATCTATCTATCTATCTCTACGTATTATGTTCTTCCTTCAAGACTTTGTTTCTTTTCTTTCGTTATTTCTACCAATATTTACTTCTTTGCGCTTCTATATCTTTCTTATACTTGTTCCTCCAGCCATTTGCGATCTTTTCCCCCAGCTATTTATGTTACTTGTTCCTCCAGCTATTTATGCTACTTGTTCTGCCAGCTATTTATGATACTAGTTTCTCCGGTAATTTATGGTATTTGTTCCTCCAGCGATTTGCGATCTTTTCCTCCAGCTATTTATGATACTTGTTTTTCCAGCTATTTATGATACGTGTTCCTCCAGCTATTTATGATATTAGTTTCTCCGTTAATTTATGGTATTTGTTCCTCCAGCAATTTGCGATAATCATACCTCCAGTCATTTGTAATATTCGTTCCTCCAGCTACTTGTGA